CTTGCATTGCCGCCCGCGCGCCCCCGGCATGATCCGCGGCGCCTGGATGTCCCCCCGCGGGGGCGCCGCCGGCGGGGCCGTGTGCTGCGCGCCGCGCCGCAGCGACAAGCCGGTGGCCGACCCCGAGCGGGCGCAGAAATGGCGCCTGTCGCTCGCCTCGCTCCTCTTTTTCACCGTGCTCCTCTCCGACCATCTGTGGCTCTGCGCCGGGGCCAAGCTGCGGGCGCGGGAGCGGCCGCGCCCCTGCGCTCGCCCCCCGCCGCCGCCGCCGCCGCCGCCGCCGCCGCGCCCTTCTTCGCCTCGCCCTCCTCCAAAAGGACCTTCCTGCAGGCTTACTTCAGGAACTTCAACCTCTCCTTTTGTGATACTTACACGATCTGGGACCTGCTGCGGGAGATGGCCGGCCCCGACGGCCTGGACTGCAGCCTGGACAACCTGATGGTGGACCTGGTGGTGGCGGCGGCCGGGGCGCTGGACGGGGAGGCCTGTAGCAGCTGCGTCCAGGCGTACCAGCGGCTGGACCAACACGCTCAGGAAAAATACGAGGAGTTCGACCTCTTGCTGGAGAAGTACTTGCAATCGGAAGAGTACTCGGTCAGATCCTGCCTGACGGACTGCAAGGTACGAGGGGGCGTCCCGGGTGAGCTGGGTCACAGCGGGCTTGGTGGTATGGGGGTACCGTGGTCCAACTGCTCTCACACCTACCTGCGGGCTGGGATCTCCCTCTGCTCCCCAAATTCTCCTGGCAGTGGTGGTGGGATAGGTCTGGAGCCCTTGGGAAGTTGGGACAGGGTGGTGGGACAGAGAAGGCAAAGCAGGACTTGGCCTGAATCAGCACTCGCACATCCCTTCACACTGTGCACACACAGGCAGCTCCTGTCATCCCACTGCCAGCACTCCATTCCCAACACCCTGCTCCCAACACAGTCCAAGCACCCAACTCATGACACCCCACTACTAGCACCCCAATCCTTGCAGCTCACACTCATCATGCCTGTCCTGACACCTCAATCTCCACATGTCACCTCACTCCAAGTACCTCACTCCTGACACCCCAGTCCATGCTAGCCTCACCCACACCCCTTTCCGTGTGCACCCTTGTGCACACAGGGGCTGAGCTGGGGCACATGTGAGGCCCCTCACCTTTGCCTCAGACCTGTTGCTGCTCCTGGGACAGCTCAGGGTTCTGCCTGGCTGTCATTAGACCAGTGGTGACCTGAGATGAACCGTGGTGCCAGGGCCCCTTCCTTGTATGCAGCAGCTGTTTTCCAGCTCTTACACCCTTTCTGCCCAGGGGTTCTGGAATGTGCCTCCCACCTTGGTGTTCCCCCCAGTGTCACTGACTGTTGGTTATGTCTCCCAGCATCAGTGGGATCAAGGCTCAGTATGGAGCCATCTCCTCTCCCAGATGAGAGTCGTGGTCAGATCTCCATCAGGCCCCCAGTGTGGTTGTGCTGGATGCTCGTTCTTACAAACCCGTGGTGCCTCCAGCTTCCACCAGCTCCAAGCTGCCTGGCTCACCTGTGCATGCTCCTTCCAGACATCACCTCTGGGAAGTGCAATGGTCTCCATAATTAAATCTGCTTCCCTTTCTCAGAGCTGTGTCTTGGGGTGTGTGACAGCATTGTCCCCACAGGGATGTTGGCAGTGCTTCCTCTCTGGCAGTACAACAGGACTGGCTGCTCCTCTTCTGAGACAGGAGTTTTGAGGGACACTTGGATTTGCAGAGCAGCTCTTGAAGTGGTGTTCATGCCCTGGGAAAGTGCAGGAGCAGCACCAAGAGCAGCCCTGGGACACCAAGGGGGTGTCTTTCAGCAAGGGCACATTGGTGAGATCCTGGCCACTATTCCAAGGATAGGGTCGCTTTTGTGGGGAGCTGGGTTTGAGCAGGAGCTTGTGTTTGTGCTCTGGGCCCGGGCCAAGGCAGGTAATTACAGTCTGCTTCCCACATTCCCCTTGTGGTTTCCAAGGGACGTGGTATTCAACCTGCTCTGAGTAGTTTGGTCCTGCTGCTCCACTTCCACAGGGTGCTGTCCATTGTGCTGCTCCTGCTTCCAGGGGCCCAGCAAGATCAGGATCTCCCTATGCCATGTCTCGTGGAGCATAAACACTACAACTTCAAGCTTAGCTTCCATCTCTGCTGGGAGACCCAGAGAGAGAAGTGAAAGAGGTGCGAAAATAATTATGTTGAGACTCCAAAGTGTGTAGAAACAGAGCTGTGCTTCAATGAGTCTCCATTAATTGTCCCTGGGTTTAACATCCTTGATGGGAGAGCAGGAAATGTGCAGGGCAGATGCAGAGCTGGAGGCAGTGGCAGGACTCGTTCCTCTGAATTGGTTCTGTGCCATGTCAGTGCATCCTTAGAGCATCTGTGAGCTTCAACCTTGCATTCCACAGGCAGCACTTGGGAAGCAACAGGAGGCAGGAGCAGCAGGGACAACCTGTGCACACTCCCCTGGGCCACCCACTGGGAAATTCCCATAAGAGTGCCCAAGTCTACACACTCCCACTGGAGCCCTCACAGCTCCCATCCTTTTGGTTGCTCCTGAAAAATCAGGCTGCTTGTTTAAGGCCATTCACTCCATATTTATGTGTCTTACTCCAGCCTTTCACATCCATGAGACTCAGATTTTCCCTCTTAGTGGCTGTTCCCCATCTGTGAATTGAGGCTAATACCAGACCCTTCCAGCACTGTGGTGACGAGTGAGTTTTGGCCTGATTTTGAGTCCTCTGGACTTGAGCAGGGACTACAGCTACTCATTGCCTTGGAAAAATGTGGCTGGTGGGATTTTTGAAGCAGTTCGAATTTGTGATTCCCATCCAGGTGCTGGGTAATACCTGTTTGTGAGGGATGGCAGTGTTATTGCTTGACAGGGATAACATCTGAGAGCAAATACCAGGAAAACAGCAAAGGAGTGGAGGAAAACAGTGGAATGTGCAGCTTGGCCAGTGTGAGAGCTCCTGCAGAGCCCTCACAGCAGGATTCTGGCTTCTTGAGCTCTGGAGCTGGAGAAACGAGATTTAAATGATATTTCTGGGACATGGGGCCGTGGGAGCAGGGCTGAGTGTGGAGGGTTAGTGCTGCATCCTATTCACATCCCTGCCATTCTGTAACAGCAGCTGGAAAATTGAAGATTTTCAGGAAGCACAGCACCTCCAGCTCACCTGCACACAGCCTCCCTCTGCTGAGGCACGGATCCCTCTGGAATTTGATGCCTAAGAACACAGTAGACAGCTCATAGGGAGCTCTATGGCAGCCAAACCACTCCGGTGATTTTGGCTCTTTATTCCACCTGATTTCAAAGAACAGCAACACCAAATCCCAACTGGAGCTGCCAGTTCCTTCCTATGGCAGCAGGTTTCACCCTGAGCTAAAATGTTGGAAGTGTGTAAGTTCAGGAGACACATAATGCCCTGTTAAAAATCCATCTTGAGAGCTGCCCTCAGGTTTCGGGAGAAAAAGCAGGTCCTGCCAGGAGGGGAAACAGCATCCTAGACATCCCAACTCCAGATCCATCTGTTGGAATAAATCACTTGAGCTCCATTTTCTTCATGTGGGAAAAGCCAAATCTTTATTCACATAACTTATTTTATACGGTTTTCACAGACCTCCTGTGCACTATTACCTGGTAGTTTTCTTACTACTTCCTGTGTTGGTCAGAAGGTGATTTGTGTGTATGTGCTAAGGTTCAAGTTGTTTACATTTTTCTTCTGTGGGTTCTCCTGGAACAGATCTAATAAGTGCAGGTGCACTTATTTATCACCCAAAAAAAGTTTTTACATTAATGAGCTGTTCATACCCAGATTGTTTTCACATGGGAACTTGCAAAGTTCTAGCTGCATTTAGAAGAAATGACAGGCTAGCTATTGCTTTACCAGAGCAGGCCTGATTTTATGAGGCCTTTCTTTTATAGTTTCTCTATCTGTCTGCAACATCCATCTGTGCCTGGAGATAGGGGAAGACTGGACCAAAGTCCTCCTGGGAGATAGGAATCCCATGAAATGGTGGGGTCTGTGTGTAATTCAGCTGCTGAAATTACTCAGTGCTGTCATACTCCCCCTTTTTATTTTCTGCTTGGGGATCATTCCTGGGCAGATCCCACTTTCTGCATATGTTGTTAGTCCTGTGCAGCACAGTCAGCTTCCAAATCACTCCCTGGAAATGTTTTATTTGTTACTCTTCCAACTGACACCAGAAATCCCTGTGGCTGAGAGACAGTGAAACATGAAGATGCATTCTGGAGTTTATTATTTGTATTTTGCATTTGGTGGGATTTTGAGGGTCTGGCTCCCACAGGGATGCACCTGGACAGGGGCAGCAGTGTCCTGTGGACAGGAGGAAGGGATGGAAGTGGGTTCACAAGGTCCATCCATCTTCTCAAATACATTTCACCTCGTGCTGCGAGGATCTGCCTGCCAGCTGCTGGGTCATGCTGCTAGGTAGGGATGATGTGGATAAAAGGTGGCAAATGCCTGTGTTTTTCTGAACATAAGAGGGAAAAGTCATTAATTGAGTCAGGAGCAGCTGCTGGTGGCCTCCATCTCGCCTGTTGCTGTGTAACTTGTACCCTTTGTCACTGCAAGATGCAGTGAACTTGGTGCACTGAGCAGTTGTGGGGACACTTTGGAGCATCCTCCAAAGGGGCTTGAGGAGGTCACAGCCTGGGGATGTGGATATTGGACTCGAATATCCATCAGGAAATGTGGGGCAGCAGCAGCACTCAAACTGTCAGCCCAGGCTTTGCAGGGCTTAGTGCAGGAGCAAATCGCTGTCCCTCCAAAGCAGTGCCCTGAGGGATGCTTAGGGCTCGTTTGTGCCTTTCCCATCTTTCCAAACAGGAAAAGAGCAGTGTTGCTCCAGCTCAGACACCAGATGAGAGCTTTGCTCATGCCAAGGCCGAGCTCTGCATGCTGGCTCCCGCCCAACTGCTCCCAAAAGTGCCCCCTCCCGCCAGTCCTGGGGCAAATCAAGATCTATGGGACAAAGCCTGCGGAATTAAGGAGTCATTAGGCTGCAAGAAACAAAGCTGTGGCGAGAGAAGGGCTGACAGGCAGGAGGGGGCTGGCAGCAGAGCTGGGCAGGCTGGGCTGGACAGGACCTGTAGCTTCTCAGACGTGATTAGATTATCAGGTTTCTCAGCACGCGGGCCTGTGGCTGTGGGATCTGGTTCTGCACCTCTGGTTTCCCCAGCACCCCTGGCAGGGCAGGTTCTCACTCCTGAGGCTTTGCTGGTGTTTCTGTGCCATGGGTGCATAGTGATGTGGTGAGAAATGGAGGCTGTTCCTGCTCTGGCATCATCCCTGGCACATCCCACACGGAGCAGGGAGCAAATCCCCAGTGCCCAGGTTCAGCACTCTCTGGGGTCCTGTTTTCTGGCTCTTGTTTAACCAGGAATAGCATCAGCAATCAGCATCCCTGCAGAGCATCTCTGCCTGTGGAACATCCTCTGGAAACCTAAGCCTGCTGGTGCCAGGAGCTTTGGGAACACCATGTCTTGGGGTTATCCCAGTGCCAGGGACACCTCTTGAGGGAACCAAAGTAGCATTTTACCTTCACAAAAGTAGCTCAAGTTGAGGTTTTTTTCGGCTGGGCTTATCCAAAATGCTGCTAAACCTGGTGC